GCTCCCCTCGTCCGTTTCCCCATTTTTCCCGAGCCCGGCATACTCTCCCTCGCTCTCCCCACGCCGCACCCACGCGCTGCCACACTCCGGCGAACTCCAGTCGCCGTTTCCCGCCGCCACAGCCGTTGCCGCGCCGAGCCGCCGCCACCGCCAGCTTCGCCATCCCGCGCCGCACGCCGGTCGCCACTCGGTTTCCTTCAACCGCCATCGGAACCACCTCCCCACCGTGTAACCTCTCTCCGCCGCTTGCTGCCGACTCCAGCCGCGTCGCGCCGCCGCTTCGGTCGACGCCGACCCGCGCCATTGCCTCCCTCAGCTTCGCAAGGACGAGGAGAACCTCGGCCGCCGCCCCTCTTCGCCGAAAATCCGCCGGAGCTCCTCCTTCCTCGGTCGTCGGTTAGATCCTTCTCACATCGTCGCGGTCGGCCGTCGTTACCGGTCACCCCGCATCGGTCCTCCCCTCCCTAACTCCCTCATCTCTTTCTGAAGGTCAAGGGCGACCCCGTCCGCCCTCCGTCCTCGCAAGCCGCCATCGGGCAATCGTCGTCGCCATCATCTTCCTCCGCGCCGGCCGCCGCTTTCGGTGAGGACCTCTCCTCCCTTCCTTTTTTTCCCGTTCCCCTTTCTTGCCGACCTCCGCCTCTTGGGGTGCGTCGCCGTCCCCATGCGCGCCGCTGTCCTCCGGCCGCCCACCGCCGTTCCTCGTCGCCGGCTGCTGCCGCCGGTGGCCGCATGCCGCCGCCGCGCCTTGGCTCGGCCGAGCCGGTCTCATGCCGTGCCCGTGCCCCAGCCGCGCCGCCTCGTGACCGTCCGATCGGCTTTGTGCCGATCCGAGCCGTCGGTTCCCGTGGACCGGCGGTGGACAGCCTCGGTGGTCCCGGTCCACGGTGGACCGGCGCCCATGTGCCGCTGACCGGTGGGGCCCGCTTGCCGGCGCCGCCCCTCCCCCTTGATGACGTCAGCGAGGTCCATTTCCTTTGTAAAAATAAATGATAATTGCGCAATAAATCGAGTTTAATTCTAGAAATTCATTTAAATGGCTCAAAACTTCTAAAATTCATATCTAATTCATTCGAACTCCGAATTGAGCCGTTCAACTTGCAAAATTCATCTAAAATTGAGCTCTACATGTTTGTTTACTTTTTATGTACTGTTTCCTTGGTTTTTATTAGAGTTTTTCCTCGTTTTGCGTGCCAGCGTGTAGAATCCGTCGTTTTGGAAGTCCGCGGTCGCGAGGAAAAGAGTTCAGAAAATCCAAGTGAAGAAGCAAGGCAAGTCACACATTCCCCTTGAGCATGTTGATCCCAATTTATAAATGTTTTACCGTTTACAAATAAATATGCATGTTTTGCTAATTACATGGGATCAGGGTTTACCTATCTGCTCGCTTGTGCCATGTTTACTTGGTATCTATCCTTTGTCAACCCTGGGTAATAAATCGACTAGCTTGTGTTACTTATGTGACCTAGCTAGAACTATATGCTTAGCCATGCTTAATTACCACTAGCTCAGTCGATGGGATAATTGCAGTATTAGACATTCTAGTATCTTGTTGAGCCGCGTGCTCGAGACATCTGGCCATGTTTTATGGTCGTAATTATCCAACTAAAATGCGACTGAATGGTGGGCTGTGGGTGCGTGGTTTTGTGAGTCGCACCCATGGCAATTAAGGACCGGTTCACGGGAAACCCTGGAAGACTTACAGCGCTTGCCACAAGCGGGAGTGGGTAACTGCTTGATCTGAAGTATAGCTCGCCCCTTTCCTAGGCACCGGTGGCGAGGGTGGGCGTGATGGAGTTGGGTCGGCCGGGGTGTCCGGTTGTCCAGCTGCCGGATTCACCGCGGCGCAAGAGGGGACCGCCCACTGCCTTTTGAGGGGTGGGGGTGAAACCTTAGCGTGGTGTGGATGGTTAGGGGAGGGTTATGCGAAGGGTCTCGTCACAATCACTCGACACGGTGACGTGTGCATCATGGGCACATGATGACGCGGTGACATGTCGGTGGGTTGTGTCTTGTGGGTACAGTTGTGCACCTCTGGCCAGAGTAAAACTATTCGAATAGCCGTGCCCGCGGTTATGGGCGATCGACCAGATTCACCGTGATTAGTCTCACACTTAATAAATCGACCCAATACACTGTAGTTTAGGTGGGTTGGTTGGGCCTGTTCAACGTGGTGTAGCGTTGATCAGTGGAGATTTAATGTTACTTTAATTACTCAACAGTTTTACTGTTTTGCTCAATAAAATGTTTTACAACCGCCTTTATGCAAATAGCCACAAACCGTCCTTGTATCCCTTTGCACGTCTGCATCATTGGTGTGGCTTGCTGAGTACGGTGGTTGTACTCAGCCTTGCTATTATTCCCCCTTTTCAGAAGTGTAGTGCTTCTGAGCTGAAGACGAAGTTGGAAGACCAAGGCTCAGACCTCAGTTGAGTTTTGCCTGTGGAGTGGAGCTGAAGCCCGCTAGGATCGCCTTTTTCCGCTGCTGCTGCTTTTGTTTCGGTGTGAGGACTAAGTGCCTCTTCTGTAAGTATTTTACGCTTTATTTACGTTTGGAACTGTATATTACTTGTCGTTTTGTGTACCCTGGCTGGTCCTGGACAGGGATTTAATACACAAAATAGTCTGGAAATTTGGGCTAAATTTCTGGGCGTGACAACTGTCTCTAAGGTTATCTCTTCTTGCTTTTATGGCAGCATGGGTAGTAAATGACATGGTGATAAACTACACAATATCTCTATGGTCCTTCATGTGATGCTATTCAAAAGATCTGTCGATTAAAAATGAACATCTCAGCATAGTGTGAATATAGATAAATAGCACAACATCGACTTAGAGTATATAACAATGAAGTGCAATTCTTCCAACTCACGGTCCACTACAGCAACCAGATAACATCATAGCCATATCATGGCACTTTAGTACAATGCGGAAAAGAGCAAACTGAAGGGAAAAAAAAGACTGCATCACGTCACAGAAGTGATAGAAGAGTTCGACAAACACCAAAAGCTGGACAGCAACCATAAGTGCTTATCCCATTCCTTGAACAAGATCACCAAAAGCTGGACCGCAGCCACAAAAACAAGTAAAAGACATCGAATCTGTTCGCCCCGGTAGAGAGAAAAACATGTACAGTAAGTGAAAGTGATAAATACAGTCAGTCTAAGATAAAATTACAATGAAATTGTACACTAGAGCTTACATTATACTGAAATAACAGTGACTAATTATTTTGCCTAGTTTGAAACCGTTGCCAAATATACTCAATTAAGTCATTTTTAAGCTGACTATGGATTGGTTTGGCTCGGATATAAGCATTTCTTCGCCGCACATCGCTGAAGCTTGGGTGATCATTACTCCCTGCATGAACTTCTGGTGGAAGAACAATTGATGTTCCTGGGGCAGCATTCAAGTCAATAGGATCTTCTGCCATTTCTCCCTCGTCTTCCACTATCATGTTGTGGAGAATTACACAAGCTTGCATGATTTTTCGAAGAACTTTTTGGCTCCATGATCGTGCTGGACGATGCACGATGTTGAAGCGAGCTTGCAACACCCCAAAAGCACACTCAATATCTTTCTGTTTCCCTTCTTGTTCCCTTGCAAACAGCTTGTGCTTCTCTAGTTGAGGAGATCTTATAGACTTTACAAAGGTTGCCCATTCCGGATAAATTCCATCAGCAAGATAATATCCCGTGTTGTATTATGTCCCATTGACAGCAAATTGGATTTGGGGAGCTTCACCTTTTATTGCTTCAATAAACAGAGGGGACTGATTGAGCACATTAATGTCATTGTTGGACCCAGGAATACCAAAGAATGCATGCCAAATATGAAGGTCATATGAAGCTATAGCCTCAAGGATAATAGTTGGATACTTTTGGTCACCTCGGGTATATTGTCCCTTCCATGCGTTTGGGCAATTTTTCCATCGCCAGTGCATGCAGTCAATGCTTCCCAACATCCCAGGGAATCCACGAGACTCTCCAACTTGGAGCAAACGCTCGAGATCCTCAGCCGTGGGGCGACGCAGGTACCTACTACTAAATACCTCGACGACACCTTCCACAAAATTTTCTAAGCACTCTAGAGCAGTACTCTGGGGAACCTTCAAGTACTCATCAAGAGCGTCAGCAGCAGTCCCATATGCAAGCATACGGATCGCTGCAGTGCACTTCTGCAATGGTGAGTGCCCAAGGCGTCCAGTACAATCTACTCTATGTGTAAAATAGGAAGACCACTTGCCTAGTTCATCCACAATGTGTAGGAACACATGCCTTCTCATCCGGAACCTTCTACGAAATGTTGCAGCAGAGTAGAGAGGATCTTCAGCAAAATAATCAGCAAATAGTTGATCATGGGCTCCTTCATGGTTCCTATTGATGTACTTCCTTGGACCACTTGTACGCCTAGATGTACCTCCTTCCAATCTGGCCTTAATCCTTTTGTCGATCCGCCCGGCAAAAGAGTTAAGGACACTATGCTCTGCCATGAACATATCTGTAGTGTAAATCTCGGCTGGGTCTATGGAATTGTCAAACTCATCCGACATGTTTTACTGGATGGAAGGAACAGATGAGGCAGTGTTGGACTAGATGGAAGGAACAAATGAGGCAGAATAGAATAGGAAGAATAGTACTGGATAGAAGGAACAGAGGAGGACAGTGCTGGATTGTTTTGCTAGGCTGAATATAACAGAGCAATATATAGTCACATGGTACAGATTAATTTGTGGTATATTGACTAAGAATACAAATTATAATTTATGGTTATTTGTGGTGCATTAACTAAGAATACAGATTACAATGTATGGTTATTTGTGGTACATTGATTAAGAATACATATTACAATGCATGGTTATTTGTGGTACATTGACTAATAATACAGATTACAATGCATGGTTATTTGTGGTACATTGACTAAGAATACATATTACAATACATGGTCATTTGTTGAACATTGACTAAAAATAAAGTGCATGGTGATTGACAGAAAATACCTTATATTATATCGCCAAGAAGTTTCTCCCTCAACATCTTGAGACCCATCACGTGCTCAGCTTTCATCTCATTAGTCATTTGACTAGTGTCCATGCTCATCAATTTTTGATATGATTCCGTCAAGACAGCCTCTCTCCTAAGCCTTGCTACTTCAACTTTTGCATCTGAAATACGGTGCTGAGTCCCTAAAAACTCTTCATGTCGTTTGCTAGCTGCAGCTTGAACATCCATGTACTTCTTCATATCTTCATGTAAACTGTCATCATCATCCTTGCCTTTACCTTTGCCTTTGCCATTGCGTTGTTTCTTAGCTTCATTCCTCCCCATTGGACGCTCCTTTTCTCCGATATCTTTTTGTGATAGTGTGTCACTTCCATCATCCAAGCTCCGCTTGTGTGGCTTTTCAAGCTCCTCCAAAACAGCATGCCACTTGGGTTCATCATGAAGAACCTTCCAATAGTGCAAAACTGTGAATGGACCTTCGTTAGGATAGTCATTCACATAAAACTGATTAGCAAAGTCTCTCAACTGATCATCTGAATATCCACTAGTATAAACTAATGCAGCCTTCTTCCAGGAGGCGCAGAAAAATCCCACCCATCTCTTAATCCTTTGCCATTGATCTTTGAGATGCTTTACTTCCCTTTTCCGGTTAATAGGTGTAGTGTTGTTGTATAATTCAACTACATCTCCCCGGTAGCTCTCATTCTTCTTGCCATTTCCATTGATCGGATCATTAGAGTGGTACAGCCATGCACTCACCTACATTTAGCATTATGTATTAGTAAAGTTTTAGAATGATGGTACAAATCCCTGCAAGTTGTCTAAAATTTTACTCACCAACCGCAAGTCCTCATCTGATGCCCATGTAAGACGCTTAGCAGTCCTAACATTGTCACCATCATCTAAGTTGATGACAGGTTTGGCTTTTGACCTTGATCTAGCATGCGTAGTGCCTGAATTAGTTGCTGGTGCCATAGGTGGCATAGGTGGCCATGTTGCTGGGAACAAAACATGAGGTGGGACTAATGGCTGTTGGCCAGTTTGTAACATGCTTAGGAAACCACCAGGTGGATGTATATCCATACCACTGAAATATCAGGAGCCAAAAATCATGACTATGAGCGAGGAAGAAACAACACATTTCCTATCTGTGCTAAAACATTATTAATTCTACAATCTAAATAGTCTCAACAAAAAGGAATTTGCTTGTTTCTTGCAGAAACAACACACAAGCAAATTGGTTTCTTACCAATCTGAGGATGCAGGGTCAAAGGAGTTGAGAGCATCATCAGCTTATTGTTCTACTCCAACATCCAGGAAGCAAGCAAGGCAGAGCCACTACAATCCCCATCAGGTTTGAGTGTACGGTACAGTACGTGGTTGGCCTCCTAGAGGAGGAGCCATTGCAGTACTGGCCTGAAAGAAGGCAGACGAGGCAGCATCGAAGCACCTAGAGGCAGTCGCAGATCCCGACGGCGGCGGCGGCGGCGACGACGACGGCGGCGGCCGCGGAGCTACTTGTCGTTTGGACCGGCAGCTCATCCTGCTCTACAGCTCGTCGTCGTTGGCAAGAGGAGTGGATTCGTCGTTGGGCTCGTGGAAACGGATACGTCGACGCCGACGAGGAAGATTTCACACACTGGAGAAGAAAAGAGGGAGGGTGCAAGGGAAAGATTGGCGCGCGGGTGGCTGGAGGATTTGCGCGGAGGAGAGCAAATTGGCGCGCCAGGGGGTGGGGGAGCGAATTGCAGCGCGCGGGATTGGGCTTGAACGGGGTGCAGCGTGCGGGGGTGGGCGGGAGGTGCGGCGGGGCAATTTGGGGGAAGGGAGCACGGGATCTGATTTTGGCGTGGAAGAGTCGACTGTTGTCTCTTGCGCAGGCTCATACGGCATCGGTAACTGAGCGAGATAGGCGTGGGAATAGGAGATAGATGGATTGATTTTTTGCCTTCTCTTTCCTCCACATAGGATACATGATGACGTGGACATGTTATGAGATAGCTTACATGGCACCATTGGAGGAAGCCTTAGAGAATAGGTTTTCGAGGCCATATGTGGTCTTCATCGATCTTATACCGGTCTTTGTCGGAAATTTTCGGCTTTGTCGATCATATCGATCGGTTTTTGTCATATTTTAAGCTTCGTCGAACATTTCGGCATTCGTCCAACATAACAACCTTTGAGCTTCGCTGATCTATACCTAACATTTCTTGACATCTTTCCCACAGACGGTGCCAATTGTTGTTGCATAAATAACAAGTAGGTACGTGTACCCTTAAGCTAAGGGAAAATGGTTGAACCAACCAACGTGGGAAAAAAAAAAGAGAGAGAGTCTCTTCCCTTTCTAGAGTTCACCTCTGTATATATAGAGGTTGGCATTGAGAAAATCACCTTCTGTTCCTTAGTTACACAACCCTAACAAGAGGTTTTTTTTTCAATACCGTAAAAACACAAGTCCTCATTTACACGCGCGCACTCTGCCACTGTTATTAATGCATACACGCTCACACCTAATCCCTATATGCACCTCAATAAAGTAGGCCAGCATATATATTTTGAGATAGCGAAGTCACTACAGACATCAGGTGTTTATATATGTGCGTGCTCTCACTTTCACCCTATCACGATGAGTACCTTCGAAAACTGGACATGCATATTTTGAGACTAACGAAATCAAGATACGTCCTACTCTCAACAGGTATGTCGTCTACTGCTGAAAGAATAATTATTCTAAATATGAGCATATGTATTAAGTCTAAAACTTAAATTTAAGTAGATTAGATTGCACCATAAGAAATCTAACTAGTTAAGTTATCCTAAAATTTATTTAGTTGTTTCCCTTGGGGTTTCTAGCTTGTTTCCATTGCCTTCAGAAATAAGAGCACCCGCAATGGTAAAGTAAGGTGCTATCTATAAAACATGTACATCTCAACAATAGACTAAATTAATAGTAAACCATCTCAATAGTATGTCTATATGGGTATCTATAGCTCTCTAATACATTGTCTCGTTTTTTCTCTATAGACTATCTCCAGGTTAGTAGATAGCTTTACTCTCTCTCTCTCTCTCTTCATTTAATCTCTTCCAAGTAGGAAAATATGCTGACATGGATCTCTTATAGAGAGCCTATAGATAACCATTGTGGGTACCCTAAGGATGTGTACGCTCTATCATTGACAACAATGAATTGGCTTGGTTGGGTCAGTTGGTTGACTTGGCTCGGGTAAGCTAAATAACTATACTAATTTTGTACTACTTATATTCAGCATTTGATCGTTCGTTTTATTTGAAAAAAATTATTATTAGTATTTTTATTGTTATTCGATAATAAAACATAAAAATAAAACATAAATAAAAATTTATGTGTGACTATTTTTTTTAAAAAAATATTTTTTAAATAAAACAAACGATCAAACGTTTGATATAAAAATATATAAGTAAGGAGGTAGCAATTGATGGCTGACTGATAAGCCAAAGGACAAACTCAGAAAGTCCGAATGACGTCCACACATGCACACATATGACGGCTCCGCGCCGGCCCAGTTTTCTCGGTGTCGTGGCGACCATTGCGGCATGGTATGGTATGAAGTATGAACCGCGCCGTTCAAGATCAAAGCCCAAGCACAAATGGAAGAAACGCCACGGCGCAGGATGTAGAGTTGTTCGACGGCGATGTGCCATCCGTCCTCGCAGTCCATCACTCATCACTGTCTGACGATGAGCCGATGGATGACTTGCCGGCCGGCTGGCCGCCGCGGCGACGGATCATATTGCTTCCCGTACATTTTTCCGCAGAGCATTCATATCTACCCTTTCGGCCTTCCAAAAACACATAGAACAAAAAACGCCCCCGTTTTTTGACATCCATGCATCCACCATGTAGTAGCATACGCATTTACCATCATCGCTCATATGCAATTATTCAGGTGTGTTTTCACATCCTCGAGCTGATGGAGGTGGTTGTAGCAATAGCGGCCGTGTTTAGTTCACCCCCAACTACCCTAAACTTTCAACTTTCCATCACATCTAAAATTTTTCTACACACATAAACTTTAAACTTTTTAAAAAAAATTAACTTTTTTTTAAACTTTCAACTTTTTTTTAGAAACTAAACACAGCCAACGTCTCCCCGTCTTTACCGTAAAGAGAAAGGACGCCCGGCCAAGGCCGCACCGCACACATCGCCTTGCAGCCAGCCAAGCACCGCACGTACAGTACCAAAAAAGACGTACAGTACGTCGATTTCAGTCAAGCACCGGGCCGCCCAGTATGCCCAATGCTTTGCACGAGCGCGCGCGCGCGCGCGGAATCGGAAGCGGAGGAACGTACATCGCCTTCTCATCCGTCAACTTCACGTGGCCCGCGAAGCCTCGCCTCCTCTGCTCACTTGGGCGCGGTACGATCCGCGGACTTCGCCATCGGCAGCTATAGCGCTGCCTGACGAAGCACGGCGGCAAGTGGGGAACTCGGGGCGACGCCCACACGGGTGACGTTGCCCACAGCGGCGCAGCGTGACGCCCGCGTCGTGATGTCACCGTCGAGCCAGCCCAGCCAGCCACGCAGCCGGCAGGCGGCAGGCTGCTAGCGCGAGAGCGGGGTGGGGCCGAAGAGGCCAGAAATACGGTCAAATCACGTACTACCCGGCCGGCTAATCAGATCCGTGCATCTGCCGTGTATATATTGCCTTCCAGTAGTTTCTTTTGCTGATAGGCTGATAGCCGTTACTCCCTCCATAAAAAAAAAACAAATATTAGGTTTATGTATCCAACGTTCGTTGATCGTCCGTCTTATTTAAAAAAATTATAAAAAAATTAAAAAGATAAGTCACGTATAAAATATTAATTATGTTTTATCATCTAACAACAATGAAAATACTAATTATAAAAAATTTTATATAAGACGGACAGTCAAACGTTGGACACGAAAATTCAGGGTTTGTCTTTTTTTTACGGAGGGAGAACGTAATAAGGGCAAGTTTTATAGTAGAGATGACTACCACATCCAATTTCATGCATGACATAGATAATTAAATTAAGAGGTGATACGTATAATAGGTTATCTCTACCACACAATCCCCAATATCTCTAACACTCTCATATGTTTATTGAAGTTTGTATAGAGGTTGCCTCTTGCATGAGAGTTGACTATTTCTCTCTCTTCCTTATTCTCTCCTCCACCTCACTATTTAGTCCTATGTGGCATTTTGGGGTTTGTGCTTGGATGCCCATAGTACTTACCCCAAGTACTACGAGTAGTAGTCTACTGTTAGTATTGTTATTAATTAATCGAGCTTAATTACCACGGGATTCCGGGCATCCGGGCGTGTGATTGAGGCGTGGGTTCACACGCACATTGATCTCACCTGTCCGTGTCGCCTTTCGTCCCCGTTTCGGCCATCCACCATCTTTTGCTGCAGGCGTGCCGCGCAGCGAAATTCCTTGCGGTGGTCAAACCGATAGGGTCACTGTGGCAATCGTCGCGATCATCAGAGAAAGGAAATTCTGTCTTCAGGCTATCATGTCATGATGCACTAATCTGTAGTTAGAATCCGACCCGTTGACCTATCTTGGCGACGCCTCTGGTTTGATGGGTACTTGTGTTACTGGCTTACTGCTACTCCATACTCCATACTCACCCCGTGCTTTACTCCTCACCTATTATCTTTTTTACTACTTCTCATTTATCATTTTTTTTCAAAAAGAGTATTTTTTTAGCTTTAGATCTGATGGCTGTCTTCTAGGATATGCCTATTCGAGCATCTTCGTGCAGGCTCCGGCTCCTAGTCTTCTTGATCTCTTGGCAGTTATAGAAGAAGCAGAACTCTAGGGTGTTTGATCTTTCGCTCTCCTCGATCTTAGTGGTTATGGGGTCAATCCATCTGGAAAGTCGTCTGTGGTCTTCTGCAGGAGCTGCTGCTTTTGGAGGGTTTATTGTCAGTGTAGTGTGGCTCTACCACCAACTTCCCGCATTATTGGAGTAGCGTTTGAATAGTAGTTCTTTTCTTTTGCCCAGCAGCCTTTTTTTCTTTTTCTTTTTCCCTCCACAGGCATAGTCATGTCTGGCTGATTGTGTTGTGTAATAAAAACTCTTGCTTTCTTCTAATATATTGACGTACAATTCTTTTACGCATTTATGAAAAAAAGAAAATCATTTTTTCTGGGAGTAGGTGTATTACCCTCGCCCATCATATTTTGTATTTTATTCTCTCAACCATCATTATTTGTACCATGCTTTGTTTTTTTACTACTTCGTTAACTTCTAAAAAGAAGCTCATAATCGAAATTGATTTTTTCTAGGAGGAAAGGTTTATTGGTTTATTACCCTCCTCACCCATCATAATTTATACTATTTTATTCTCTCATCCATCATCATTTAACAAAAAAAAAAGCTCATAATCTCTTAGGGCCTCTTTGAATCGCAAGATTGAGAAAACATATTAATAGGAAAAACGTAGGAATTGAATACCACGCTTATTGGATTCCTATGGGATTTTGAAACACAGGAAAGTCTTCAAACTGTCGTTTGGTTAGCATACAGGAAAAACGCAGGAACCTTAGACACATGAAGAGGAAAACATGAGGTGAGATCTCATGCTTATTTTCCTCCAAAATTGCTCTAGTAAGGTTCATTCCATAGGAATTTCAAAGGAATTGATAGGAAACAATCCTTTGTTTTAAAGGACTCTGTAGGATTATTTCCCATAGGATAAAATCCTCTAGAATTCCTATGGTTTTTCCTTTGATTCAAAGGGGGCCTTATATTCATATACAGAGTAGTACTTTTGATTAGACACATGTCTACTTTGATGAAAAACAGGTCTGGATCCAAATCACTTTTTCTTTAGAGAAAAGAGAACGCTTTTATACCAGTAGTGGTACAAGTAGTCAATACTGTATATCAGATTTGCTATTTGCTTGACAAATAGGGAAAGCCACACGTCATACAACACTATTGTGTATTTTGGTTGTGTATAGCTCAGTACAAAGTTTGGATTTTGGTTGAAATTGGAGATGATGTGACTGAAAAGTTGTGTGTGTATGATAGATTGATGTGATGGAAAAGGACTAAAGTTTGGATCTAAACTTTAAATCTAAACACAGCCTTTGCTAATTTTGCACTTTGCCTATTTGGTGTGAGAATCACCGAGACAGTGAGACGTACAGCATATTGGTACGTGTGCATACAAAAACCACTCCAACCGACCGGACCAAACTTAATCAACTACGCAACCCATATAACCTAGTGCAATCATAATAGTTGCACAACACAGGGTTGATTTAATTTTACAACACACAAGGTACATACGTAATGCAAATTAGTAGTAGTACGCTTGTACGTAGTATACGATTCATGCAAAATGTAGTAGTAGTAGTAGTAGTAGTATATCCGAATCCAACGGCCTACCGATAGCCGTGGACATGCGCACCGCGACTCGTCATATGTATCGACCGAACCACATGTAGGATCGATGCGCGCCTGATTAATTAATTAGATCAAAACAGCGTGTCGACGTCAGGTTTCCGTCGTACGAGTTGCTGTCCGTGCCGAAAGGCCCCCAGAACAGCGCGTCCGTCATGTCGTAGTCCATGACGTCCAGCTCCTCGCCGGCAGCGTCGACGGGCCCGGACGACGACGACGACGCGGCGACCGGCGCCGCCGCCGCAGGCGCGCGCGCGTGCACGGCGCCGAGGGAGGCGACGTCGGTGTCGTCGTCGTCGTCGTCGTCGTAGCACTGCCGCCCCTGCAGCACGCGGGCGAGGGACGAGACGAGCACCTGGCGCTCGCGCTCCTCCATGGCGGCGCGGTGGTCCACGAACTGAGGCTGCAGGCCGCCGCCGCCGACGCCCCGGAGCCGCCGCAGCGACGACGGCGTCTCGCCGCCGGCGGGGAAGTAGTCCGGCGACGCGGCGGCGGCGGCGCCACCGTTCGTCGCCGCGTCGGGAAGCTCGGCGGGCGCCCCCTGCAGGCACGTGTGCTCGTGGGTGTAGACGACGACGTGCAGCGCCGGGACGTCGTCGCCGTCGCGCTGCTGCACGTGCTTCTGCGCGGGGCATCTGCGCTCCCGGTGGTAACTGCACCTGTAGTAGCTCCTGCGTGTTTAGGAAGAATCATCAGTATAACAAACGATTAAGATTTAATTAAGATTCGTGTACTGTATACATAATTAGGTAACCTAATCCAAGAACATGGCGGCTAGCTAGCAAGCTGGCCTGATGAGGTCACATCACAAGAAATAATTATTAGGTGATGACGTCACAAGATGCTTCCGATATAATATAACCCAAACTCCAGCTTTAAACTAGCAGAGAGCTCACAGTGATACACGCAGATAAACCACAGTTATTTGCTCGCGCTACACAACGTGACACCAGGGACAAAATGATCATGTGAAGAAAACAGAACAGCTTAATTTCCACATGACAGAAAAAAAATCAGCTTAACTTTGGTTTCTCCAACTGATAAGGCTTAACTTTATGGATGGTTTCAAACATGTGGCGATCAATTAATTCGCCTGGCTGCTCAAAAGAATCTATAAAGTTGTAGGGTGCGTGTCAAGCGACATTTTCCGTTTGTCTCTTCCGTCCCCGGTGCCACGCCTTCGCTATCCAACAAAGTCCAATCAATACATCACGAATAATACCTTTTCTCCTATACGCTGTCTCTAGCTAGCTAGAACCGTCATGGTCCAAAAGTACTCACCTTGGTTTTTTATTTACAACGACATGGTAAATTACCCATTTTTGCTAAATATATACTTTTTCCGTTTCTAAATATAAAAATTATGGCTATGAATCTGGACAAGAGAAGATGCATGCGTATCTAAATTCGTAACCATAATCTCGTTACATTTAAAAACAAAACGAGTAGTCGCGATGGTTAATTATCTGAGCATTTTGACATGAGCAGGGTTGTCGATTAATTAATCCATGGGTTAAGGTATATGATATATCTAGCCTGCAGGCACGGGGTTGAGAAATTAATTTAAACCTTGGGAAGTTGGTGTTGTTGATCTTCTTTTGACCGTACTTCCTCCACTGGTACCCATCGTCGTAAGGAGAGGCTGTCAATAATCTCCTGTGGATCAATGCACGGGATGAATCAGATAAACTCGTACTCAATTCCTATAGCATATTTAACCCAGCTGATCTTGTACTAATTGATTAGCTAGCTACTAGTTCTGCGGCTGGAAGCTAGCTAGCTAGGCATTTATTTATGCTTCCAGTATAACTGTATAGCACGTGCAGAATAACTCACTTTCGCGGGACGTTGTCCTCTCTCGCCGCGCGCGGTGGTGGTGGCGAGACGGCTGAGTCGGCCGGCGGCGTCTCGTCCGGTTGTGGCGGCGAGGCGGACGGGGAGGCGCTGGCCATGATGGAGAGGCAGACGGTGAAGGCGCGGGAGACCTCCCCGAGGATGAATGTAGCGGTGGCCTCGGCCTGCCCCTGCCCGCGCAGCGCCCGCAGCGCCTCCGCCCGCAGCCGCGCCGTCAGCTCGTGCCCGCGCGTCAGCTCCCTCACCACCGCCTCGTGCTCCTCCCCCGCTCCACCACCCAACCTGCTAATGCCACCGCTCCCGCTAATTCCACTGCCGCTGCCGCCGCTCGCGGCAGCAGCGAGGCGGGATTGCGCCTGCATGGTTCGTGTTGTTCGCTTCGTTTGAATTCAGTTGGGTTGGAAGCGTCAGCGATGGATGGTTGGTGGCGCGGCAGAAGTAGAGGAGGGCGAGCGGGTGTTGGGCGGGCTCGCTGTTATATAGGTGGGGAGAGCAGCTAGCTAGCGAAGCGAGGTGGATGGGCCGGAGGGGATGAGAAGGCTCGTGGGAGGTGCACCAGCTCAGCCCGTGCGGGAAAACGCTTTAACGCGGAATGGTGGACTTATCTACGACCGTACAGCGAGTCCTTTCTTAATGCTAGCAAGCGCTACGTGAGCGAGTAGAGACAAAGGGAATTTTGCATCCAAGCACTTTGGACTCCAACATAATCGCAAGTATGTGCCTTCAGCTTGAGTTTCCAGAGAATGTTTGTTTTTCAGGGGCAATTGCATTATTTCATGTCTGCTGCAATAATTACTGGGCTTAGAAAATAAGGACTAGATATACAACTTCCATAGAAAACTCATCCAAAAATTTACAAATGTAACTTAGGATTTGTTCTCTTCCAAACTTCTATTTTCTGATTTTCCACGCGCACGCTTTTTAAACTGCTGAATGGTAATTTTTGTAAAAGTATTCTAAACGAAGTTACTTTAAAAGATTATATTAATAGAATTTAAAAGTTTTATTAAATATGACGGAGCGTGGGGCTCCTCACCGGGAGACCGCGCGGGCCCCCCTTTGCCGGTTCGGCCGGGGGCGCTAAGTGAGGTTCTAAGCCCTTGATCTGTGGAATGGTTCGCGAGAGAGCAAACGCACAAGACACGGGCGATGTAGACAGGTTCGGGCCGCTGAGAAGCGTAATACCCTACTCCTGTGTTCTGGCGGATCTGTCTCTGAAGGAATTACAAAGAGCTGAAGAGCAAGAGCCTTTGAACTCTAGAGACCCTCTCCCTACTCTTTTTCCCCTCGTCCTTTCTACGAGCTCCCCTCTCTCCTTCTTTTTTTTCTCTCTTTTTCTTGGTAGGCATGGTCCTCCTTTTATATCTCAAGGGGATACCACATATACCATTTCTACCTACCCTTCTTTTGGGTGGGGACCCATCCTACTTTGAGCAAGATTTGGCTCGTACTTTTATCTGACACCGGGATAGCCCTGTCCTCCCTCATTAATGGGCGGAGATTTGCAATGGCTGCTGTTTGAATGACCCTCCGATGGGATGGGTCATACCAACCTCCACTCCGTCGGAAGCAGGTGCAACGTGGAAGCACGGTTGTTTGCCGATGACATGACAGGCGTCAGACCAGTCACAGACCGGTCACTCTCGTCCACCACGCGTCAGTTTAGCAAGCTGCATGTCTGCCCTTCTTCATACAATGACTTCCTTGCAATGGTTGGGATGAAGCCTGGCATATATCTGACCGGGACCGACGTGCCATCTTCAGGAGCTGGCACGCCGTCTCCGGCTAGGGACAAGTGCCTGGAGGCTCTCATCAATCCGACGGGACGGGGCGAGGCGTGTAACAGGCCACCTGCCACCACCTAACCCGCGATCTGACCGGTCTGTGACCGGTCACACGCTGCGCCCGGTCACGGACCGGATAAGCGAGCGCGCTGCGCTGCATTACATGCGGCGTGACGCGCTCGTCCAACCCGCAATAAATGCGGTTAGGTGAGCCCCGCTGTGCTCACCTAACCCATATACGTGGCGCCAAACCCACAGGGGGTCGGGGCGCCCCGGCCCTCGGGGTCGAAACGGGAGCAGTCCGACCCCTCGGGGAGACAAAGGGAGGGGCGGCCACATCACCCTCGGGCCCGACCCCCCCCCCCCGAGGGGTCAGGCCACGTGGGTGATCGCGGCTGCCCAAGCCTCTAGTCATGATACTCCCGGTCCCATGTCACCGACAGTAGCCCCCGGCGTTATGCCAGGGCGATCGCCCCCCTCGAAGGAAGCGCTCGGGCGTGACGCCACTCCTTAGGCCTGGTGACAGGTGGGGCCGGTCTCTACAGGCGGGCAGAAACCCAGCGGTCGCAAATCGCGCACATCAGCAACGGAAAACCGACTGTCTATAATGAGCGGTCTCTTCAAGACCGCTACATTACTCGAGTAGCACGCGAATCGGGACGAGCCGGTTCGTTTTGCCTGGAGATATGATGATGGCGCTTCGGTCGGCGAGCGTAGTTAACGCGCGCACGATATGTCCCATCTCAACTGCCACAGCCGCACATCCGCCTCGTGCGCCGCAAACGGGCGAGCGGAATTAGTGGAGACGTGGGCGCGAGAAACGAGGGGGCGAGATAGTGGGCGCGGGAAGCGAGGAGCCGGGCATAGCGTTGGCAAGGGTATAAAGACGCCGAGGAAGAGATTCGCTTCCTTCCTCTCGTCATTATTCCCCTTGCCTTCGCCGCTTGCGCCCTAACTCCTTGTTTCCTGTGCCCTACCCTCGCCGCACTCACTCGTTTTCAAGCTCCTCCTCCGCCGGCGTCATGGCACGGGGCTCCGCACCACTCGACGGTAGCGTGCTGCCGTCTTCCCGCATCGTGAGCGAGAGGCAGGCCGGGCTGCCGCGCCGATTCATGCCGGCATCTGCCACCGGCCGGGAGGTGGTCGAGCTAGGCGAGGGACGCCCGGTACCACACTACCCGGGGCGGTCCGTCTTCTTCCTCCCTTTCGCAATGGCAGGGCTGGTCCCGCCATTCTCTTCTTTCTTCATGGATGTTCTGGAGTTTTATGACCTCCAGATGGCGCACCTTACCCCCAACGCGATAATGACGTTGGCCATCTTCGCGCACCTGTGCGAGATGTTTATCGGGGTGCGCCCATCTCTTCGGCAGTTTCGGTGGTTCTTCACCGTACAGCCAGTGTCGCCGCCGTCGGTAGTTGGTGGCTGCTACTTCCAGCCGCGGGGGCCGGCGCTGAGCCGCTACATTCCCTGCGTCCTCCGCAAGAAGTGGGACGACTGGAAGAGTGACTGGTTCTACACCCCCCTCGCCGACGAAGCGCGCCTCCAACTTCGGAGCCAGCCCCCAGCGCAGGCCTCCAGTTGGCGGGCGCCGCTAGATCTGGGAGATGGCTACGACGCCGTTCTTGACCGTCTGGCGGGTCTGCGATCCCAGGGGCTCACGGGGGCCATGCTGTACGGCGACTACCTTCGTCGCCGGATTGCGCCGCTCCAGCGGCGCGCCCGGGGCGCCTGGGAGTACACCGGGTCCGAAGACTACATGAGGACCCACCAAGGGGTCAGATGGGACTAGGCCCCTGAGGACTTCAAGATAGTGGTCCAACGGGTGCTGAATCTCAGCTCCGTGGAGGCGTCCCTCATCCCCCAAGGAGTCCTCCCCCTCTGCAGCGATCCAGATCGTGCCAACATCCTGACCATCATGATGGCGGTCGGGGCGTCGGAGGAGCGGGCTCCTCGAGGCCACGATGGCGCGGGCGGGAGCCGCAGGGGAGAACAATCTACCCCAGGAGGGGGTCGTGCTTCTGGGCCCCGTGACAGGGGCCCGGGGGGCAGCCGCCCTGCCGACGCCCGAGGGAAGAGGAAGCAAGAGGGTACCCCCTCCCCATCTCCTCCCCGAGGGGGCGGGGCGGCGCGTGTCAGCAGCAGGCGCCCGGAGGGGGCCGCGCCGACGCCGCAGCCCGAGGGGGAGCGGAAGAAGAAACGGCTCTGCAAGATGGGGGGGACCGAATCATACCGGGGAAACCTTATCTCCCCCCCAAGGTGGTCGTTCAACCGACCTCCTCGCAGGTTCGTCCTGCGCCCACTGTGGCTGTATTCATTCTCCCAATGCAAGTTTTCACTCACCCGTTTTGTTTGTCTTCTGGTTTTTCTTCTGCTTCAGCGAGATCCCGTCGCGCCCCTCCCGCCATTCCAAGTCCGGCCGGTCTGAGGCCGAGGATACGGCGACCGCGGAGGCCCGGAGACGGGAAACTGACCGGCGAGAAGCCGCGGATCGCCTTCGGGAAGCCGAGGAGGCTGCCCAGGAGGCCGTCCGGGCTCGCCGGGCTGAGGAAGCCGCTCGGGAGGAGGCCAGACTCCGCCGGGCCGAGGAGTCCGCCCGGGAGGCGGAGGCGGCGCGCGCACGCCAGGCGGCCTGCCAAGCCCCCGACCCGACTCCGCCCGAGGCGACGACGACTTCCGAGGCCACCCACGACGAGGCCGCGGGCGCACCGCTCGGGCCCGACCCCTCGGGCGACGCTCAGGACAAGCCAGGTCCGGGGGTCGTCCCTGAGTCCGGTACGTCGATCGGCGGGCCGAGCCGTGCGGCATCCTCACCGAGGCGGCTCTCCCCCATGCCTTCCGCTGCCCCACTGAGCGCAGAGGCCCTTCTGCAGGCCTTGGCCGCCGCGAACACGACAGTGTTGGACGGGTTAAGTGCCCAGATGGAGGTCCTGCAGGCAGAGCGGGCGGAGCTCGACGCTGCATGGGCACGTGTCGAAGAGGGGCGACGCTCGGTGGAGGCCATGGTGGAGGCGGGCCGCAAGGCACACCGCCGGCACACCTCGGAGCTCGAGGCCCGTCGGAAGGAGCTGGCGGAGATCGCCAGGGAGGTGGAGGAGGAGCGGGAGGCTGCCCTCATCGCCACCGCAGTGATGAACGAGGCGCAGGACGACCTCCGCCTTCAATACGGGAGCTGGGCGGCGGAGCTAGGAAAGAAGCTCGACGCCGCCCGGGGGGTCCTTGAAGCCGCTGCTGCCCGGAAACGGCGGGCGGCGGAGACCGAGGCGGCGTCCCGGTGGCGCGAAGAAGCCCTTGAGGCCCGTGCCACGGCGCTGGAAGAGCGCGCCTGTGTGAAGGAGAGGGACCTGGCGGACCGCGAGGCCGCCGTTGCCATCCGGGAGGCTACACTGGCGGCGCACGAAGCCGCCTGTGCTGAAGAGGAGTCCGCACTCCGCCTCCGCGAGGATGCGCTCACCGAGCGGGAGCGAGCTCTCGAGGAGGCCGAGGCCGCGGCGCAAAGGCTGGCGGACAGCCTGTCCCTTCGTGAGGCAGCGCTGGAGAAACAAACGTGTCGCAATCTGGAAGGTGCCCGCGCCGAGAGGGCCGCACTGGATCAGCGGGCCGCTGAGCTCGAGGCACGGGCAAGGGAGCTGGATGCGAGGGCGCGTAGCGGCGGGGCGGCCACGGGCGACGGCGATCTAGCCG